TCGTGAGTGAATGAGCTTTCGTATTTATGACTTTTACCCGATTCCGAGAAGTGGGCCTCACGGGCGATTTTTGAGTTAAATTTTGGAATTTTCGTTAAATTATAAATTTTTAATTAGATGAGTCTATTATTGTTGTATTTATGATACGTAATTTCTTTTAGCTAGATTTGGGCCATTCAGAGCCGGATATTCGTGGGAAAGGCATTGTGACCAATTAATTGAGCTTGACTCGAGGTAAGTGGCTTGCCTAACTTTGTGTGAGGCAAATCCCCTTAAGATTTGGAACTATTGTGCTATGTGAGCACCGTGTACGTGAGGTGACGAGTACGTACACGGGCTAGTTGTGGTAAAACCCGATTTTTCTTACCGAGCAGCAACATGTTTTCCTGTTATTTTTAGTTATACCATTTTAACGAGTACTAATCTATTTTCATTCTTAATTGAGTTAATCCAATATGTGTAGCTATCATGTTTAGTCTAATACAACATGTCTATGTGTCTTAATTATTTATGTGAATTATGTGCAACATGCTTAGTGAATTTCCTGCTTCTTCCGTGACTGGTACTTAGTCTAAATTGTACGAACTTTGTGATGTAGTTGTATTTCTACCATTCGCGCTGCATATTTACTTTGGGACTACAGAATGGTATTCCGGTAGATCCCCCTGTACTGCATATTTACTTTGGGACTACAGAACGGTATTCCGGGATATCCCCCTGTCTTGCATATTTACTTTGGGCCTACGGAATGATATTCCGGGAGATCCCCTTGCACATTTACTTTGGGACTACGGAACGATATTCCGGGAGATCCCCCTGCACATTTACTTTGGGACTATGGAATGGTATTCCGAGAGATCCCCCTGCTCATTTACGTTTGGGACTACGAGACGGTATCTCGGGAGATCCCCTGTTGTGTTTCTGTGTACTGAGCTGTTACCTTCTATGATTTTATTGTTGTTAAATTTTATCCTTTATTTTATTGCGGTATTACACTCTATATTGTTTTCTTATATATTTACTAGTAGGGCCCTGACCCGACCTCATCACTACTCGATCGAGGTTAGGCTTGGCACTTACTGGGTACCGATTGTGGTGTACTCATGCTACTCTCTGCATATGTTTTTCGTGTGCAGATCCAGGTGCACCTTATCAGCCGCACTATCAGTGAGCCGGGACATTTTTGGAGACTTCAAGGTATATCTGCCGCGTCCGCAGACCTCGGAGTCCCCTTCTACTCTTTCCCATGTCCATTATCTTTTGTATTTTTCCTTGTTAGACTCTGATTTATAGAGACACTAGATCTTTCCTTCTGTAGTTTGTGATTCACGATGTTCCGAATTTTGGCATTTGTTGTGTATTTTTGAATAATTGGTTAAATTCCTATTTTTATTTCATTATTCCACAAAAATGTTAGGCTTACCTAGTTGTAGAGACTAGGTGCCATCACGACGTCACACGGAGGGGAAATTGGGTCGTGGCAATCAACTTACCTTTTCTAAGGCATCCCTCACCAAATCAGTACTATATAACTTGGCCTCGCCGGGCTCAAACCATCCGATGGGTGAACGACATCGCTGACCATATAAAGCCTCAAATGGAGCTATATCAATGCTAGACTGATAACTGTTGTTGTAAGCAAACTCGGCCAAAGGAAAGAATCGATCATATTCCCTCCAAAGTCAATCATGCATGCTATGAGCATATCCTTCCGGATCTGAACTGTCCACTCTGACTTCCAGTCGATCTACGGATAAAAAGTTGTGCTAAGCTCTACCAGGGTCCCCAACTCACTATGTACGACTCTCTAGAAATGTGAAGTAAACTGAGGGCCTCTATCTGATATGATGGAAACTGGCACACCATGCAACCGAACTATCTCCTGAATATAAATGTGGGCCAATCTATCTAAAGTATACGCGGTCATAATAGGAATAAAGTGTGCCGACTTGGTCAACCTATCGACAATGACCCAAACTGCATCAAACTTCAGCATGGTCCGCGGCAACCCAACTACGAAGTCCATAGTAATGCGCTCCCATTTCCACTCAGGTCTAGTCAACTGCTGGAGTAGGCCACCTGGCCTTTGGTGCTCATACTTAACCTGCTGGAAATTTAGACACCTCGCAAAATACTCAACTATGTCCTTCTTCATCCGCCGCCACCAATAATGCCACCTCAGGTCGCGATACATCTTCGTAGCACCTAGATGAATAGAATATCGAGAAGTATGTGCCTCCTCTAGAATCCTCTCCCTCAAGCCATCGACGTTAGGAACACAGAGGCGACCCTGGAGTCGCAGAACACCATCCTCGCCGATAATAACCTCCTTGGCACCACCCTGTAGTACCGTGTCTCTGAGAACCAACAAGTGCAGATCATCAAATTGACGAGCCTTGATCTGCTCCAATAGCGAAGACTAGGCAACGATGGATGCAAGAACTCGGTTGGGGTCTGAAATATCCAACCTCATAAGTCTGTTATCCAAGGACTGAATGTCCAAAGCTAATGGCCTCTCCTCTGCCGAAATGAATGCCAAGCTACACATACTCTCCGCCTTTTTTCTTAAGGCATCCGCGACCACATTCACCTTGCCCGGATGGTAAAGAATGGTAATATCGTAGTTCTTTAGTAACTCATGCCACCTACAATACCTCAAATTGATATCCCTTTGTTTGAACAAACGGTGTAAGCTGCGATGATTAGTGTTAACCTCACAGGACACCCCATAAAGATAATACCTCCAGATCTTAAGAGCATGAACAATCGCGTCCAACTCTTAATCGTGTACATGATAATTCTTCTCATGTGGCTTTAGCTGACGTGAAGCATATGCAATAACTGGCCCCTCCTGCATCAATACATAACCCAAACCAACGCGGGAAGCGTCGTAATACATAGTATACATCCCTCAACTAGAAGGCAACACTAACACCGATGCTAGATTCAAAGCTGTCTTGAGCTTTTGAAAGCTCGCCTCACAATCATCGGACCAACGGAATAGAGTACCCTTCTAGGTCAATCTAGTCAAAGGTGCTGCAATAGATGAAAACCCCTCCACAAACCGACGATAATAACCTGCTAACCCTAAGAAGCTCCTAATCTCAGTCGTCGTGGTAGGACAAGGCCAACTCTGAACTCCTTCGTTTTTTTGGGATCCACCTTAATACCCTGGCCTGATACAACATGCCCCAACAATGCCACATAATTTAACTAAAACTCACACTTCGAGAACTTAGCATATAGCTTCTATTCTCGCAAGGTCTGAAGCACCACTCTCAAATGCTGCTCGTGCTTCTCTATGCTACGCAAATCAATGTATGGCCTGAACACCTTATTCATCAAATACATAAATGCCTCCAGGGCGTTAGTCAGACCGAAGGACATTACTAGAAACTCATAATGGACATATCTAGTCCAAAAAGCAGTCTTCGGAACATCCGAATCCCGAATCTTCAATTTATGGTACCCCGATCTCAAGTCGATTTTAGAGAACACTGTGGCACCCTGTAACTGGTCAAACAAATCATCAATACATGGAAATAGGTACTTATTCTTAATGGTGACTTTGGTTAACTGGCGGTAATCAATGCACATCCGCATAGTCCTATCTTTCTTCTTCACAAATAACGCCGGTACACCCCACGATTATACACTCGGTCTGACAAACCCCTTTGCTAGAAACTCCTCAAGCTATTCCTTCAACTCATTCAACTCCTTCGCAGCCATACGGTACAGTGGAATAGATATACGCTAGTGTCACGACCCAATTTAGGATCATGACCAGCACTTAGGAGCAAGTGCCCACAAATAAGCCTCATCGGTAATTTACAGAAAATCAGACAGAGTTTTTCCTGTTTTTGGACTATCAAATTTTTTTTCCCTGTCTCAAATCAACAACCATCATCCTAATATCAATTCAAACAATAATAACTTTATTAATTAACCAAAACAAATATCTATCATTAATAGTCCACCCCATAATAACTAGAAATACTAATTTATCTCCAACTTTGATAAGAATGAGCGATACTCAACATAAGTCTATAATAACAAACGAATACTCATGACACTAAAATAATAACTATGGAGCAATTCTAAGAGTTCAAAGAAAAGACCATAACAATAAATAAAATCTTCGCCCACGCGAACAAGTGTGAGGCTCACCAAGAACTATCAACTTGTGCGCTCTAATTAACGAAATCTTTGCACGCGTCAACTGCTATCTTTGTAAAAACAATTAGCGAGGAATGAGTCGCTAGCTCAATGAGTAATAACACTTAACCACAATCATTTTATTGGGGACAAGTCAGAAAACATGCTAGTATATATAATAAACTTAAACTATCACAAAAATGCCCTTTCAGAAATAATAAACAATAATCAGTCTCATAATGATTTTCATGTAATATAAATCAATTGATAATTCGGTAATAAGCTCGGTAAGTACTATGTAATATCGATAATCATGTTTGCGAGGTTTCAATGAATGGATCATGTAATCGGTATAACTGTGGACTTCTTCGCAAGAAGTCAAATATAACGGCAATCCCTACTTGAGGGAAATAAGTAACAATATACTAGTTCTACCTTCCCACTAGCGAGGGCTGTAACAGTAATCGTTAATTACAAGGTGCACCAGGTCTAACGAACCAGCCATTAGCTACGAGATCCTTTAAAGTCTCCTCCCAATAATACTTTTTCTTGTAAACAGTAAATACTCGTACAAAATTATTTTCAAAATAATAAAGGGCATATCATTTCTTATCAAATTTTATAATTTTATTTCGGTAACGGTAATCATGTCTCGAGTAACAGTAAAATATGTCTAGTAACAGATATAATATTTTAAATAATTATTACATCTCAAGTAACGGTAAAATATATCTAGTAACGATGAAAATATTTTAGGTTAACCGATAAACATCTCAAGTAAACTGTTCGGTACCATATCAAGTAAAGAACTTTTCCCACATGCAATTTCAAAGAATTGGTAACATATTTATTTTCAAAATCATATATAAACCATGAAAGTTATGAAAACACAAATTGAGGTAAGATTAATACTCACATTACTCGTGCAGGAATACCAAACGCATCACCTCGAGCACTTCGTTCCACTTCTTCAACTACCTACTTGTAACAAAATCAATCTATGTATTAACTTCGTGAATTACCAACATAATTGGTCTGTTCCTGTCACCTTTAATTAATTCCCCTGTTTTCATCCTCTGAAATATGCCCAATGATTCTCTGCTAAGCAATTTAGTAGTACTTAAGTGGATAGAAATTATAGTTCTCTGTTGGTTCTTATATTTTGTTATTTGAATCTTTTTGCCATGTAGTACTTTACAAGTATTAACAGCCTTTCTGCCTTCTTGAAGGTAGGGGTAAGGCTTGCGTACATACTAGCCTCTCACACCCCACTTGTAGTACTTTACAAGTATTGTTAACGTGTACCTTAGAGTTCTTGGTATAAACTAGTAGAATATATTCTTTTTTCAATCGTCATAGGGAATCCATGACTGTGCTAAATAAAAAGAACACCTAAAGTTTCTTGTTTCTTTCCATTACTGTGAAACACCAAACTAAATCTTCATATATTAGTTTATCTCAAATCTGATAAGGATCTTTATATATACCCATTTAAGTAACAAAATACAACTACACTGTTTTCGTTTTACTTTATTATTATTATTATTATTATTATTATTATTATTATTATTATTATTATTATTATTATTATTATTTTTATTTACACATGATTCTTTTCTACTCTAAGAGATGAGCCAAAACCAGAAAAAGACATAAATGTTTCATAATATTTATCATAACTATTTAATATTTAATTATTTTTTCTGACTTAATAATATCAAAGACAAAAGAAGCAACTCAAACAAAATTGTAGAAAGGAAGTGAACCTNCCTCCTCCTTCTTCTTCTATGTTCTTGTAAAGTTTTTTGCGCGGCCCTTCCTCTTTTGTCTCATTTCTTTTCTTTCCTTTTTACCAGATTCTCATTTGGCGGGCTTCAGCCCTTTTTAGTGCATCTTCCCTTCTTTTTTTTTTGTTTGTTTTGTTATTATTAGTTTTTTTTCTTTGCTAATTACTTAACTGCCTTTATTTTTAAATATGATGTATTACATTCTTCCCACCTTATGAAATTTGGTCCCCGAAATTAACTCAAAATCATACTTGTATTTTGAATTAAATGAGGACACTTGACTCGCATAGCATCTTCTACTTTCCAAGTAGCTTCTTCAACGGTATGATTTCTCCATAAGACTTTCACGCACATAATTCCTTTTGACCGTAACTTTCTTACTTATCTGTTAATAATAGATACCGACTCCTCTTTGTTGGATAAGTTCCATTTAATTTTATTATCGTTACTACAAGCACATGAGAGGAGTCTGACATATATTTTCTTAGGATAGAAATATGAAACACTTGATCAATGAAAGACAAATCAGAAGGAAGTTCTAAATGATATTCCATAGCTCCCACTTGTCAAGTATCTCGTACTACCCTATAAACCTCGGGCTTACCTCCTTTAAATTAAATTACACATTTCATAAAGAAAACTCGTAGGGACACTACATCCCCAATTGTTAAAACAAAGTCCCTTGACTTTTTTCTATTTTGAGTTGTGATTAATCCAATCACTAGAACTTGTCAATAGCTTCTTGTATCAAGTCTGATCCTAATAAGTTAGCCTCATCGGCTTCAAACCATCCGATAGGAGAACAACATCGTATATTATACAAGGATCCATACCGTGCCACCTATATACTAGACCGAAAGCTATCATTGTAGGCAAATTCAGTTATAGATATATTACTGAATGTAAAAACTACCTTCAAACTCAAAAGGCAAGCTCTCAAACATATCCTCCAACATCTGTATAGAACGTTCAGACTACTTGTTTGTCTGTTGATGAATGCACTATTAAGATTTACTCATGTAACCAATATTTCTTGGGAAGAATTTCAAAATCGTGCAGTAATTTGTCATCTTCTATCAGAAATAGTAGGCAATAGACCCTATAGAATTTGACAATTTTCTATCCATGTATCTTTGTGCATATTCATTCTCAGTAAGAGAAGTTTTGGCGAGCAAAAAGTGTGCCTATCATGTAAGCCAATTTGCAATTTACCACATAATTATAACCTCTAATTGTTTCAACAGTTTTGTCATAAAATTCACTTTGATTCCATTCTATCCCCCACTTTGAAATCTCGAGATGTTGTAGTAGGCCTGAAGAGTTGCAAATATTGATACGCTAACAAGTCAATCAGTTAGAAACAAGGTTAAGAAAATCTTCTATCTTTCTGTTCCTACAAATACAATTTTCTTCTAATCATGGTACACCGTACTCGACTCCGAATGCACTATGTATGTTAAGTTGTGAGCTCCTCAAGGATAATTCATCTAAGCACATCTACATCTACTACACATAATTGTTACTTAGTCGAAGAATACAATTTCTGCCCATAGTCATATCCTTGCTTTTACTATCTAGGACCTCATCTCAATATTTGCATAATCACTCATCTTTATATTGAGCGACCTTTATTAGCTTTACCAATGAAAACTTTTCTTGAATACAAGCCAACAATAGCTCTGAATTTTTGTTTTTGTTCTATTTAGTCTGTGCATATTCTTGACCAAAAGTCTCTTTACATTAGATATATTTGCCAAATTACCCATGTTTTTTTTGCATAAGCCATATCATTTATATTTAATGAAAAATATAAAATAGTACAATTATATCTTTAATAGTTCCCTTCATCAGTATTGCTAAATATTTATATCTCTGTTGGTTATAAATGTACTTCAAGCTCTTGTTCTAGGTATAAATCTCATAGGTTTCTTCGTATAAATGGTGTCTCTAAATCCTAAAAGGAAATAACACTATGACCATTTTCAAATCACGAGTGACATAATACGACTTGAGCTTCTTCAATTTCCTTGAAGCATAAACTATCACACGACCATTCTGCTTTAGAAAATATCCTAATCCTACCATAGAAGTATCACAGAACATCGTGAATCCACTAGAGCCTATTGGAATAAGCTAATATTGGTGTGATTGTCAAACATGGCTAGGGATTCTGGAATCTCGTTATACATTCCTCCATCCACTGAAATTTAATAATTTTCTAAGTTAACTTGGTGAGTGGTGGTGCTATTCTAGAGAAATCCTACTCAAATGCCTATAGTAGCCTGTCAAGCCAAAAACAAAAAGTCAATCTCTGTAGGAGAAATGGGTCTCCGCCATTTAGTAAGTACTTCTATCTTCTCAGAATATACCATCTTTTCATTCGTAGATACAATGTGTCCTATGAATACTACCGAGTCTAGCTAAAGTTCACAATTGAAGAACTTGATAAAAAAGTTGATTTTCTTGCAGCGACTTTAACGTATTGTTCAAGTGATTCTTGTTCTCTTCCTGGCTACGAGAATATACCAGAATATAGTAAGTAAAAACTATGAATTTAGTTATTTTCCAAAATCAACTTGAACACCATATCCATTATATACATCAATGTAGCTGGAGCATTAGCCCGTCCAAAGGCATCACAAGTAACTCCTAATGTATGTATCGAGTTCTAGAGGCGGACTTCGAATTATCTGTTGTTGATGCACATTCTTATGGACCTATTCTCTTCTTATTTATTTTTAAACAATATTGGTGCACCCCATGGTGAAACTCTCGGTATGATAAAACCGTTATCCAAGGGGTCTCGCAATTGTTCATTCAGCTCTCTCAACTCTATTGGTGCCATATAATATGGTTTGCGTGTCAGGTGTCAACTCAATACCGAAATCTATTTCTCATATTGGAGGTAGTCCTAGTAAATCCTTAGAAATACATTAGAGAATCTCTCATTATGATATTTTTTCTCAAACTAAGTGTTTCTTCTCTTGTGCCCCTTACCGTATCTATGAGACCCAAACAACCATTCTTTTATAACCATTAAGCTTTCAAAATATATTCTTTGCTCATCTCTAAAACCTATAATCCCCTTTTTGGACAAAACTAGCTTTTAAAGTTCACCAAACTTAATAATCTTGGGTAGCTTGATGAGAAGATAATTAATCAATGCCCATCAGTACGTTAGAGTCAACCATATCAAGTACAACTTGGTTAGCTAGGGTTTTCTTTTCATAACTTGAATCTTATAAGCTTTACACATATGTCTAACTACTATAGATTTTTCACATAAGTAGTAACCCAAAAAGGATTGCTTAATATCTCAAAATGTCCTTGATTTTTAGATCTTTGACTCATATTAAAATCCATACTAAAAGATATTCTAATCTCGATCTTCTTATGTGAGTTCGTGTACGCCTATCAATTCCAACTTTCCAATATTTCTGGTAAGTGCAACTGTTACAGAATAGGATTAAGTCTTCATATATGCAGTAACTACCTGGTTTAAACAATTAACCAACCTTTCAACAAGCCTCTAAACTTAAGATGTTCCTTGCGTATACCCATCGTCCAACTCAATTTCTTAAATGATCTAACATGCAAGTTCACGTCACAAACTGTCAAGAAGGAAGTGATTCATAAACACTTTAGTAAAAGTATTCCCAAATTAGTTGTGTTGCTCTTGTAGGCATCCCTAAGAGTACAATATCATTTCATGTATTCGCCATGTTCTCTAGTCTAAAAGTTGTCTGTTCCATAAGCCTCTTCATGAAATATCCTATAGCTCATAACGTGGTAAGTATTTTTCTAAAACCTTTAAGGATCCTTTGAACTATCAGAAATAGTAAACTTGGTAATTTCAACTTTAGGAACTTTATTAAGAATATTTTGTTGTTCCATGTAATCTTCTAGGAGCATGAGGACTTTAGAACCCCTATTCTGTTGCTCATTCTTTTTATGTTTATCCATTATATCCACAAAGATCTCAATTTATTTTTCTTTTTCATGGAGGTAAGTACCTTTTTGTGATAGCACTCCTCTATCGTTATAGTGGTAGACTAGTATAAATTTCCGAAATGGACTATATTACGCATCTTACCGGGAAACACCTCATATGGCACAATGAACCTTTCACCGGTCTTGTATACTACTTATGTAGCATTTTTTTGCTTGGAGATGGTTGCATGTCCATTGGCAAAATTTGACGCTTTTGAAGTTTGTACCTCTAGCCAAATTCTATTATAGGGTAATTGGTCCGATCCATACCCGAATAGGATAAGTAATGACAGATTCCGTTATTTGACCCTATTCGCCACACACGTATAGAGGAATAAGAAAGAAATACAAGACACATCCTATCACGTCATCGCAGAATCACGATTATGGGAATGGCCGACTACATAAGCATAATTGAGATTCTACTACCGATGTGTGCTCCATTAATCATAAGAATAACCTAACGCTCTGATACCAACTTTTTTACGACCCAGTTTAGGATCATGACCGGCACTTAGAAGTAAGGGCCCCCAAGTAAGCCTCATCGGTAATTTACAAAACATCGGACAGAGTTTCCCCTGTTTTTGGACTATCCCAAAAATTTTCCCCGTCTCAAATCAACAACCATCATCCTAATATCAATTCAAACAACAATAACTTTATCCATTAACCAAAGCAAATATCTACCAATAATAGTTCACCCCTTAACAACTAGAAATACTAATTTATCTCCAACTTTGATAAGAATGAGCGATACTCAACATAGGTCTATAATAACAAAAGAATACTCATGACACTAAAATAATGATTATGGAGCAACTCTAAGAGTTCAAAGAAAAGACCATAACAGTAAATAAAATCTCCGCTCATACGAACAAGTGCGAGGCTCAACAAGAACTATCAACCTGTGCGCTCAAATTAACGAAATCCTCGCCCGCTTCAACTGCTGTCTTTGTAAAAATAATTAGCTGGGAATAAGTCGCTAGCTCAGTGAGTAATAACACTTAACCACAATCGTTTTATTAGGGATAAGTCAGAAAAAATGTTAGTATATATATAAACAGAAAATATCATAAGAATGCCCTTTCATAAACAATAAAAAATAATCAGTCTCATCATGTTTTTCATGTAATATAAATCAATTTACAATTCGGTAATAAGCTCAGTAAATACTATGTAATATCAATATTCATGTTTGGGAGGTTTCAATGAACGGATCATATAATCGGTATAACCGTGGACTTCTTCGCAAAACGTCAAATATAACGGTATGATAGTTCTACCTTCCCACTAGCGAGGGTTGTAGCGGTAATCGGTAATTACAAGGTGCACTAGGTCTAACGAACCCGTCGTTAGCTACGAGATCTTTCAAAGTCTCCTCCCAATAATACTCTTTCTTGTAAACAGTAAATACTCGTACAAAAGTATTTTCAAAATAATAAAGGGCATATCATTTCTTATCAAATCTTGTAATTTTATTTCGATAACGGTAATCAGGTCTCGAGTAACAGTAAAACATGTCTAGTAACAGTGATAACATTTTAAATAATTGTTACATCTCAAGTAACGGTAAAACATATCTAGTAACGATGAAAATATTTTAGGTTAACCGATAAACATCTCAAGTAAACTGTTCGGTACCATATCAAGTAAATAATATTTCCCACATGCAATTTCAAAGCATTGGTAACACATTTATTTTCAAAATCATATATAAACCATGCAGCTTATGAAAATACAAATTGAGGTAGGATTACTACTTACATTACTCGTGCAGGAATACCAAACGCATCACCTCGAGTACTTCGTTCCACTTCTTCAACTACCTACTTGTAACAAAATCAATCTATGTATTAAATTCGTGAATTACCAACATAATTGGTCTGTCCCTGTCACCTTTAATTAATTCCCCTGTTTTCACTCTTCTGAAATATGCCCAATGATTCTCTGCTAAGCAATTTAGTAGTACTTAAGTAGATAGAAATTATAGTTCTCTGTTTGTTCTTATATTTTGTTATTTGAATCTTTTTGCCATGTAGTACTTTACAAGTATTAACAGCCTCTCTGCCTTCTTGAAGGTAGGGGTAAGGCTTGAGTACATACTAGCCCCTCGCACCCCACTTTTGGTACTTTACAAGTATTGTTAACGTGTACCTTAGTGTTCTTGGTATAAACTAGTAGAATATATTCTTTTTTTCAATCTTCATAGGGAATCCATGATTGTGATAAATAAAAAAAAATACCTAAAGTTTCTTGTTTCTTTCCATTACTGTGAAACACCAAACTAAATCTTCATATATTAGTTTATCTCAAATCTGATAAGGATCAATATATATACCCATTTAAGTAACAAAATACAACTACACTGTTTTCGTTTTACTTTTTTTTTATTATTATTATTATTATTATTATTATTATTATTATTATTATTATTATTATTATTATTATTATTATTATTTTTGTTTACACATGATTCTTTTCTACTCTAAGCGATGAGCCAAAACCAGAAAAAGACATAAATGTTTCATAATATTTATCATAACTATTTAATCTTTAATTTTATTTTTGACTTAATAAGAGCATAGACAAAAGAAGCAACTCAAACAAAATTGTAGAAAGGAAGTGAACCTTTTAACCAGAGAAGAGGCTGTGCTATAAGGATTATGAACAGGCATCAAGAATTAAACCTCCTCCTCCTCCTCCTTCTTCTCCTCTCTTCTTCTTCTTCTTCTTCTTCTTCTTCTTCTTTGTTCTTGTAAAGTTTTTTTCTTTATTAGGATTTCACCAAATCCCCTTTTCTCTATTTTCTGTTGCGTGGCCCTTCCCCTTTGTCTCGATTCTTCTTTTTCCTTTTTACCAGATTCTCATCTGGTGGGCTTCAACCCTTTTTAGTGCATCTTCCCTTCTTTTTTTTCTTTTTTTGTTTTGTTTTTATTAGTTTGTCTTTTTCTTGCTAATTACTTAACTGCTCTTATTTTTAAATATGATGTATTAAATTCTTCCCAACTTATGAAATTTGGTCTCCGAATTTAACTCAAAATCATACTTGTATTTTGAATTAAATGAGGACACTTGACTCGCATAGCATCTTCTACTTTCTAAGTAGCTTCTTCAATGGTATGATTTCTCCATAAGACTTTCACGCACATAATTCCTTTTGACCGTAACTTTCTTACTTATCTGTTAATAATAGATACCGACTCCTCTTCATAGGATAAGTTCAATTTAACTTTATTATCGATACTACAAGCACATGAGAGGAGTCTGACATATATTTTCTTAGGATAGAAATATGAAACACTTTATCAATGAAAGATAACTCATAAGGAAGTTCTAAATGATATACCACAGCTCCGACTTGTCAAGTATCTCGTACTACCCTATAAACCTCGGGCTTACCTCCTTTAAATTAAATTACGCATTTTATAGGGAAATCTCATAGGGACACTCCATCCCCAATTGTGAAAACTAAGTCCCTTGACTTTTGTCTATTTTGAGTGGTGATTAATCCAATCACTAGAACTTGTCAATAGCTTCTTGTACCAAGTTAGATCCTAATAAGTTAGCCTCATCGGCTTCAAACCATCCGATAGGAGAACGACATCGTATATTATACAAGGCTCCATACCGTGCCACCTATATACTAGACCGAACGCTATCATTATAGGCAAATGCAGTTATAGATATATTACTGAGTGTACAAACTACCTTCAAACTCAAAAGGAAAGCTCTCATCATATCCTCCAAGATCTGTATAGTACGTTCAGACTGCTTATTTGTCTGCTGATGAATGCGCTATTAAGATTTACTCATGTAACCAATATTTCTTGGGAAGAATTTTAAAATCGTACAGTAATTTGTCATCTTCTATCAGAAATAGTAGACAATAGACCCTATAGAATTTGACAATTTTCTATCCATGTATCTTTGTGCATATTCATTCTCAGTAAGAGAAGTTTTGGCGAGCAAAAAGTGTACCTACCATGGAAGCCATTTTGTAATTTACCACATAATTATAACCTCTAATTATTTCAACAGTTTTGTCATAAAATTCACTTTGATTCCATTCTATCCCCCACTTTGAAATCTCAAGCTGTTGTAGTAGGGCTGAAGAGTTGCAAATGTTGATACGCTAACAAGTCAATCAGTTAGAAACAAGGTTAAGGAAATCTTCCATCTTTCTGTTCCTACAAATACAATTTTCTTCTAATCATGGTACACCTTACTAGACCTCGAATGTACGATGTATCTTGAGTTGTGAGCTCTGCAAGGATAATTCGTCTTAACACATCTACATCTAGTACATATAACTGTTACTTAGTCGAAGAATACAATTTCTTCCAATAGTCCTATCCTTGCTTTTACTAGTTAGGAACTCATCTCCATATTTTCATAATCACTCATCTTTATATTGAATGGCCTTTATTAGCTTTACCAATGAATACTTTTCTTGAATACAAGCCAACAATAGCTCTGAAATATTTTTTTTTGTTCTATTTAGTCTGTGCATATTCTTGACCAAACGTCTCTTTACATTAGATATATTTGCCAAATTACCCATGTTTGTTTTGTATAAGCCACATCATTTATCTTTCATGAAAAATATAAAATAGTACAATTATATCTTTAATTGTTCCCTCCATCAGCATTGCTAAATATTTATATCTCTGTTAGTTATAAATGTACTTCAAGCTATTGTTCTAGGAATAAATCTCATAGGTTTCTTCGTATAAATAGTGTCTCTAAATCCTAAAAGGAAATACCACTATGACCATCTCCAAATCATGAGTGACATAATACGACTTGAGCTTCTTCAATTTCCTTGAAGCATAAACTATCACATGACCGTTCTGCTTTAGAAAATATCCTTATTCTACCATCGAAGTATCACAGAACATCGTGAATCCACTAGAGCCTATTAGAATAAGCTAATATTGATGTGATTGTCAAACATGGCTTGGGCTTCTAGAATCTCGTTGTACATTCCTCCATCCACTGAAATTTAATAATTTTCTATGTTAACTTGGTGAGTGGTGGTACTATTCTAGAGAAATCCTACACAAATGCCTATAGTAGCCTGTCAAGCCAAAAATAAAAAGTCAATCTCTGTAGGAGAAATGGGTCTCCGCCATTTAGGAAGTGCTTCTATCTTCTCAGAAACTACCATCTTTTCATTCTTAGATACAATGTGTCCTATTAATACCACCGAGTCTAGCTAAAGTTCACAATTGAAGAACTTGATAAAAAGTTGATTTTCTTGCAGCGTCATTAACGAATCTTTCAAGTGATTCTTGTGTTCTTACTGGCTACGAGAATATACCATAATATAGTAAGTAAAAACTATGAATTTATTTATTTTTTTAAAATCAACTTGAACACCATATCCATTATATACATCAATGTAACTGGAGCATTAGCCAGTCCAAAGGCATCACAAGTAACTCCTAATGTATGTACTGGGTTCTAGAGCGGACTTCGAATTATCTGTAGTTGATGCACATTCTTAGGGACCTATTCTCTTCTTCTTTTTTTAAATAATATTGGTGCACCCCATGGTGAAACTCTCGGTATGATAATACCCTTATCCAGTGGGTTTCGCAATTGTTCATTCAGCTATCTCAACTCTATTGGTGCCATATAATATGGTTTGTGTGTCAGGTGTCAACTCAATGCCGAAGTTTATTTCTCTTATTGGAGTCAGTCCTAGTAAATCCTTAGGAATACATTAGAGAATCTCTCACTATGATATATTTTCTCAAACTAAGTGTTTCTTCTCTTGTGCCCCTTACCGTATCTATGAGACCCAAACAACCTTTCTTTTATAACCATTAAGCTTTCAAAATATATATTTTGCTCATATCTAAAACCTATAATCCCCTTTTTGGACAAAACTAGCTTTTAAAGTTCACCAAACTTAATAATCTTGGGTAGCTTGATAAGAAGATAATTAATCAATACCCATCAGTACATTAGAGTCAACCATATCAAGTACAACTTGGTTAGCTAGGGTTTCCTTTTCTTAACTTGAATCTTTAAAGCTTTAAACACATGTCTAACTATTATAGATTTTTCACATAGGTGGTAATCCAAAAAGGATCGCTTAATATCTCAAAAAGTCCTTGATATTTAGATCTTCGACTCATATTAAAATACATACAAAAATATATTCTAATCTCGATCTTTTTATGTGAGTTCTTGCATGCCTATCGTGGTCAACTTTCCAATATTTCTGGTAAGTGCAACTGCTACAGAATAGGGTTAAGGCTTCATATATGCAGTTACTACCTTGTTTAAACAATTAACCAACCTTTCAATAAGCCTTTAAACTTTAGATATTGCTTGCGTATACCCATCCTCTAACTCAATTTCTTAAATGATCTAACAGGCAAGTTCACGTCACAAATTGTCAAGAAGGAAGTGATTCAGAAATACTTTAGTAAAATTATTCCCAAATTAGTTGTGTTGCTCTTGTTGGCATCCCTAAGAGTACAATATCATTTCATGTATTCGCCATGTTCTCTAGTCTAACAGTTGTCTGCTCCATAGGCCTCTTCATGAAATATCCTATAGCTCATAAATTAGTAAGTATTTTTCTAAAACCTGTAAGGATCCTTTGAACTATCAGAAATAGTAAACTTGGTAGTTTCAACTTTAGGAACTTTATTAAGAATATTTTGTTGTTCCATGTAATCTTCTAGGTGCATGAGGACTTTAGAGCCCCTATTCTGTTGCTCATTCTTCTTATGTTTATCCATTATATCCACAAAGATCTCAATTTCTTTTTCTTTTACATTGAGGTATGTACCTTTTTGTGATAGCACTCCTCTATCGCTGTAGTGGTAGACTAGTATAAATTTACGGAATGGACTATATTACGCATCTTATCGGAAAACACCTCATATGGCACAATGAACCTTTCACTGGTCTTGTATACTACTTATGTAGCATTGTTTTGCTTGGAGATGGTTGCATGTCCATTGGCAAAATTTGACGCTTTTGAAGTTTGAACCTCTATCCAAATTCTATTATAGGGTAATTGGTCCGAGCCATACACGAATAGGATATGTAATGACAGATTCTGTTATTTGACCCTATTCTCCACACACGTACAGAGGAATAAGAAAGAACTACAAGAGACACATCCTATCACGTCCTTGCAGAATTATGATTATGGGAATGGCCGACTACATAAGCATAATTGAGATTCTACTACCGACGTGTACTCCATTAGTCACAAGAATAACCTAGCGCTCTGATATCAATTGTTTTACGACCCAGTTTAGGATCATGACCGGCACTTAGGAGCAAGTGCCCCCAAGTAAGCCTAATCGGTATTTTACAGAAAATCGGACAGAGTTTTCCCTGTGTTTGGACTATCCAAAAACTTTTCCCTATCTCAAATCAACAACCATCATCCTAATATCAATTCAAACAACAATAACTTTATCAATTAACCAAAGCAAATATCTACCATTAATAGTTCACCCCTTAACAGCTACAAATACTAATTTATCTCCAACTTTGATAAGAATGAGCGATACTCCACACAGGTCTATAATAACAAAAGAATACTCATGACACTAAAATAATGACTATGGAGCAACTTTAAGAGTTCAAATAAAGGACCATAAAAATAAATAAAATATCTGCCCACACGAACAAGTGCGAGACTCACCAAGAACTATCAACTTGTGTGCTCAAATTAACAAAATCCTCGCCCGCGTCAACTGCTGTCTTTGTAAAAATAATTAGCGGGGAATGAGTCGCTAGCTCAGTTAGTAATAATACTTAACCACAATCATTTTATTAGGGACAAGTCAGAAAATATGCTAGTATATATAATAAACAGAATATATCATAAGAATGCCCTTTCATAAATAATAAGCAATAATCAGTCTC